ACCTCGCTCAGCCAGTGAGCGGCCGGTCTGTATGTGGGATCCGAACCCTCGGCGAGAGCACTGTATCAGTGCGCCACTGGGCCAGCCCTATTTCCCTTTTTATTAATGAGAAAACCAAGCCTTAGAGGTTAAGTGATTTGTAGAAGTTGAATCTCTAATAAGTGATAGGCAAGTATTTTTTTAAACATTTTTGTAAATAATGTGAAGAAGATTTAGATTACTGTTTACTGTTTAGGATCTGATAAAGCATACAAAATTGATGTGTATTGTGATGGTGGCAAAACTGGCAAAATGGGGATGACAAACATCTGGTCAAAAATCATTAGGTAGGTAGTTATCCAACACAAGCTTTGTTTTTGATTGTTGAATGGATTTTTCACCTAATGACCATAGCCTTAGTAAGCAATAAATTATTCTCCTCATGTTTCTATTCTAAATAGAGGAAAATTCCTGTATGTGAATAATGTGAGTTGATTTTCCATAAATTTTAATTTATTTTTAATAACATCTTTCCTTATAACAGAGTAGTATATGTTTTTGTTGAAATGAAAATTCAAATGTCAAGAAAAATTATATATTATTTCGGAGATAACTACTACTACTATTTTGGTAAAGACCCTTTAAGTCTTTTTAATTAATGTGTGGATATAGGTACACTACATGTGTATTTTTCTTTTCTTAAACAAAAATTGCATAATATAATATTGTTTTGTAAACCAAAATGGAGATGATAATACCTAACTCATTTTGGAATACTGTAAGGATCAAATGATTTAATAGATTTTAAGTGCTTATAACAATGCCTGGCAAATAGTAAATGATATATTAGACACACACACAAAACTTTAAATAAAACATGATATTGTGAACATTTACCTAGATATTAAATATTCTGATCTGTACCATAATTTAAATAGATCTTTGTTAGGGGAATTTTAGGTTGTTTCTCAATTTTTTCTTATTATAAATGACTTTGGGGGGGGGTGTTCTTTTAGTTATATCTTTATAGAGATTGATATATTTTCATTAGAGTTGATACCTAAAAGCTGAATAGTTGGTCAAAGGATATGTAGCATTTTAAAGACCTTCAATAGATATTACCAAATGGCTTTCTTGAAAAGTTGTACCAATTTATCCTGTGAACCCTAAGACTATGAGTGCTGCTGTTTGTCAGCAGTTGAACACTAGATAGGATTCTTGCTCTTGTCAGTTTATAAGTAACAAATGTCTTGTTTTAATTTGTATTTCTTTGGTTACTAGTGCTGTCAAACATTCTTTTCCACTCCTATTTTTGTGACTATGAGTGCTGCTGTTTGTCAGCAGTTGAACACTAGATAGGATTCTTGCTCTTGTCAGTGTATAAGTAACAAATGTCTTGTTTTAATTTGTATTTCTTTGGTTACTAGTGCTGTCAAACATTCTTTTCCACTCCTATTTTTGCCATTTGTATTTCTTCTTTGTGATGTTTATGTCTACATCGCTCGTATCAGTTACCTGATTTTCTTTTGTGATTATCTTTTGTAATTATAAGAGCTCAGTATATGTCAAAGATCTAAATATTTTCCTACTTATATTGAAAACGTCTTCTGTATGTTTTTAATTTGTTTTAAAAAATTTTTTGGTTTTAAATATTTATATATTCGGATCTATAAATTTTTTCCTTCAGATTTTCTCCACTGCTTATACTTAGAAAGGTTTTTTCACTCCTAGATAATAAAAGTATTCACCTGTATTTTCTCCTACTTCTTTTATGATCTCAGCTTTTTGTATTTAATTTTTAATATATCTGACATTTATTTTATTTTATATAATTTTTCTAAAATTTCCAAAGTGTCAGCCAGTTGATACCAACCTCACTGTTTACTGATTTGAAATGCCACTTATATTTTACACAAAATTCTTATGTCTTTTTTCAGGACTTTCATATTTTTCTACTGATCTTAGGTGTGTATTGTTACACCACTGTCACCTTACAAAAGTTCTTAAAATCATTATACCCAGTTGTGATATTCTCCCTCATTATTATTCTTAAATATATTCCTAAGTACTTAATAAATTTGTTGTAATTTTGAATAGAAAATTTCCTTTCATTTTACTTTCTCTTATATAAAATTTGAATCTAAATGAAAAATAAATATTTTTAGTTTTTCTTAAGATTTTTTATTTTCTATATCAAATTAAATCACTTGAAAATATGAGTAGTAGGTTTTTGAAAATATGAATAGTAGATTTTTATAGTTTATTTGCAATAAACTATTGTAAATAATTATTCGTCTTAAAATACTTTGGTAATTTTCAGCCAAGCAAAAAATTTGCCTCTGTGCCACCTTTTAGGATAACATTACATATTTAGTAAAGTGAAAATTAAGTATTTTTTCTATAGTTAGTTTGATTTTTTTAAATCATTTTCATCATCAAGTAGGGAAATATACACTGGCACTGTTTCTTGAGAAAATATATGAGGAAATAAAGCTGGTGTATATTTGCCAATTAGAAAAAAATGATTTTTTCTTTATGCAGCAAACATATTTAACTTTAAACAAGATTTATTTTGCATTTTAGCCTGCACTCCCTAGAGAACAGAGCCTTAAGTGAAGTTTATGGGCTAATGCTTTTATGGGGGTGGGGTGGGGAAAAGAGTCCGTTTTTCAAGGAAGAAACAATGAGGGGAAAGGGAATGTGAAAGAATAAGAAAAAACAAATATAGTCAATCCTCATTATTCTTAGATTCCATTTTTGTGAATTTGCTTACTTGATAAAATTTGTTTATAACCACCAAATCAATACTCATGATACTTTTGCGGTCATTTGCAGACATGTGCATTTGGGGCAAAAAAAATTTGAGTTGCCTGTTGTACACTTTATTAGCTGAGGTTGAACAGGGCCATCCTCTGCCTTCTTGTTTCAGCTCTGCTGCTGTAAATGTGTCCTTTCTGTAGTCTATTTAGTGACACATTTATCGCATTTTTGTGCTTTTTGTTGGTACTTTCACTGTTTAAAATGGCCCACCTGTGGTAGTGCAGACATGCTGTTTAGTGTTCCTTAGCACAAGAAGGCTGTCGTGTAACTTATAGAAAAAATACATGGGTTAGATAAACTTTGCTCAGACACTAGTTTTAAGTAGTATTAGCTGTGAGTTCAATGTTAAAAAATCAACAATATATATTAAATAAAATATCTTTAAACAGAAACACACATAAAACAAGCTTATGATCTGTCGATAAAAATGTTATAACCAGAGGCAGACAGGAACCTAAACCTGTATTTTCCGTAGGAGCAGTGGTTCAGTATTTATTAATTCAGCGTTCACAGCAACTTTATAGAACATGCACAATGAGAATCAACTGTATAAGGGAACTTCAAAAAATTAGTGGAAAGGGCCGAGCCCGTGGCGCACTCGGGAGAGTGTGGCGCTGGGAGTGCAGTAGCGCTCCTGCCGCGGGTTCGGATCCTATATAGGGATGGCCGGTGCGCTCACAGCGCTCACTGGCTGAGCGCGATGCGGCCGGTCTCAAAAAGGAAAAAAAAAAAAAAAAAAAAAAAGTTAGTGGAAAGAGTAGTATTATCTTTTATTTCTATTTTTCCATGAACTTTTTAAAGTACCGCTATATAAGGTGGTACATTACTGAGAATACACAATTTGCTGCTTGCTTTTGTAGGAGTTTTTCCCAGAGGCCACATAGATCCACTGTGCATTGAAACAGCTCATGTTAAGGGAGACTAAGGGCAAGCAGTTTATCTATTGTCTTCTTTCTGTGTGCCATTTCATATTGGTTGAAGTCTACCCCTATAGAGCGTTTAACTTTTCCATACTTCTTAGTTGTGTTCCCTGGCCTCACTGAGGAGCTGCAGGGGAAACCAGAGCTTCTGTTGGTCCTGTTGAGTTGGAGCTGCAGGCTGGAGCCGTGGTGGGCCTCTTCTCTCCCCTAGATGAGTATTTGTAACCGCAGGAATTGTGTGAATCTTTACTGGGGCTACAAGGCAAGTGACTGAGGCCAGGGGTGGGGTTAGAGGTAGTAGTAGGTTTGGTGGGTATGCGAGCAGGACTGAGCAAATTCAAGGTGGGACATATTCTAGGATTTACACACTTTGGAAACAACAAATACATGTTTTAGAATATTGTGATTATAAGTTAAGAATGATGTTTTATGTAAAATAGCAAAACATTGCTTGCATATGAAGAAGTTCCAAGTATCTGGAACTAGGATACTGTTGCCTTCTATATGTTGTTAATGTAATACATGTCCAACTCCTAGGAGAACACTACCAAATTAGGAGATCATGAAGTTCCTGCCAAAAATCTATGTGATATTTTAGCACAAAAAAGTTTAATGTTTATAAAAGCTTCTAATATTACGATAATT